CTTTGCTGCTCTACAGGGAGCCCTGGTGGCACCGTGGTTAAGCAGCACTCAACTGCTCACCAAAGGTGGCTGGTTCGAACCTACCAGCTGCCCCTTGGCAGAGAGATGAGGCCGCCTGCCTCCGAAAGCCCCTCCGATGGTTCGCTCTCCCTGACAAGGTTGCTATGAGCTGGAACAAACTCCATAGCAACAGGTCTCTCTCTCTCTCTCTCTCTCTTTTTTTCCATTTTTCATATGAGTGACCTAACCTCTCCATCCTCACGATTATTTAACACTAGCACTCTACTTTCTTCTTCTGTTTTAAAAAAGCCATTCGGACAGGCTGTGTCATGTGACATATGACTGTGGTTTGAATTCACACTTTCCTAATGGCTCAGGCCGCACAACGCTTTTCCCGCGTTTGGTTCCCATCGGCATGTCCTCTCGGCTGAAACGCCGCCTCGGAAGGTCTTTAGCTGCTTGTGCACTCAGGTTTTCATTCCTGCGCCATCGGATTTTGAGTGTTCTCCATAGGTTCTAGAGACTCGTCTTTTTAAGACCTGCTTTGGGTTTTTTTATTTATCATTTTTTACCAGGTATCTATTGGCAAGGAGAGGTCTTCCATGTGTGCCATCCGGCATCTGAGGCCCGATGTATCTGAATCCACCACCCATTTCACGGGACGGACCTCCACCCAATAGATGTGCCCCTAAGGGAGGGAGGGTGGAAGAAAGGGGTGTGCAAACCCTTCTGCAACTGCCAGGAGCCATCACACATGTCTAGAGATCAAGCGGTGGCGGCGGCGGCTCTGTGGCTGTGCTGCCCCACAGTGGCTAAGGAGGACCCAGAGTGCAGACTGCAGAGCATGTTCTTTGACTAGGAGGACGAGGCTAGGATGGGGCTGGCAATCATCCTCAAGAGGAGGGTCTGTGAAAGGTGGCCATGAGCAGCCCTGTGGGATTTCCTAAGTAAGTAACTCTCTGAACCAGTGCGGAGAGAGAGGGGCTCCAAACCATACCCAAGTCAACTCCAACTCGCAGTGACCTGTTGGAAGGTTTCCAAGGCTGAACCTTGATCTCGGCCACATGGTAGCTGGTGGGTTTGAATCATTGGCCTGGCGGGGGTTGTAACTCCAACTCAACACTGACTCATAGCAAGTCCCTGTGGTTTTCTGAGACTGTAACTGTTTACAGAAGTAGACAGCCATCTTTCTCCCTTGGAGCTGCCAGTGGGTTTGAACTGCTGACCATGAGGATCGCAGCCCAACGCATAACCACTATGCCACCAGTCTCTTGATGCTGATCCTACAGTTGCCACCAGGGCTCTCTCTGTGGTGGAGAGAGGGGGTGAGGGTCTCAGAAGATGAAGCCAACCTAACGTGAAGGAGAGGGAGTGTGTAAGAAATGAGAAAGGAACTGAGTGGAAAACTGAAAGGAGGCAGCCAGCCCAGCGAATACTGTTATTGGGGTCGAGGGTTTAGTTCAGGTTCCTATTGGGGATAGCAGGGGTTCTCAACCAGTGGCCATTTCCTCCCCCAGGGACACTGGTCAATAGGTGGACACACAGCTAGCTGCCCTCCTGGGTTGGTGGTGGGGATGCCAGAGAAAACAGGTGGAGAAGCCAGGCTTGATGGTCCACACCGCCTCAGGGGAAGGGCAGGTTCTCACAAGAAGACATGATCTGGCCCAACTGCCGGCTAAGGCTGAGGTTCAGAAACCCCAGGGTCACCCTACGTCGGATGAGACACAGCCATGTTAAACAAGCAGTAGTCATCCTCAAGACAGCACAGCACTGCACAGTGGGAGAGGGGATCGATAGGCTGGACGTACCTCCGAACTGCTTCTTCCAGTTGCAAGGGATCTTACATCGCTGGGTCTTCATGGTTTGCTTGCACTCGGCTCCGGTCCGGGTGCCCTCCCGGGTGCCGAGCCCGCAGTCCCCACTGGTGGGGACACACACACTCCACTGCCACTCCCCACAGTCAGACTTCTTCACTTTTTTCTCTGGAAGAAATGATGGAGAAACAACCAGCTTGCTGAATAGCTGGTACTCCTAGTTGTTGTCAAAGTCAACCCAAGGGTCTTAACCTCTCGACCTCACTCCTCAGTGCCTGGTTAGGAGTAGGAAGTCGATGGCATGATCAATGAGCAAGAGAAGGGAGGAGGAAAACCGAGGAAGGCGCTAGAACTAAATACAGCTCTTATTATGAACCACGGACTTTAGTATGCCATATGCCTACATCTCTCTTTAGATGCAAGTATTTCTATAG